CCAGCCTGGGCAACAAGAGTGAAATTCCATCTCAAAAAATATAAAAATAAAAAAATAAATCCAGCAGTTTCTCAAACACAGCGTTGACATAAGAGAAGAAAACTTTAGAGTGCTTACATTTCATATCTCAATAAGAAAAGCAAAAGTATCTATTCCTTTCAAACAATAAATGCATTATTTTATTATTTCCATTAAAAGTCATATAGTAAACAATTAGCCATATGGAAACATGTCTAGGAGGTACCAAGTTTCAAATAAAATTTCGCATAAAACTCAGAAATCAAGATAACAGGATTTGAACAGAGATATTCACTGTCACAAATTTACCCTGCAAAAAGAGGAACTGATGCTTTCATGAATCTATGTAACTCAGCAATTATCTACTACATTTTCTTGTGAAAATGTATTCATTTTCTACAGCCAAAACGGGAAACACATTTCCCCTATTCTTTTTCTTGGTAGCATTCTTAAACAGCCTTGAAATTTTATTGGAAATTACCAAGCCAAAAAAAATACACCTGACACTGCTGAAAGAAATCATAGATGGCACAAACAAATGGAAACAGATCCCATGCTCATGGATGAGTAGAATCAGTATTGTGAAAATGACCATACTGCCGAAAGCAATCTACAAATTCAGTGCAGTCCTTATCAAAATACCACCATAATTCTTCACAGAATTAAAAAAATTCTAAAATTCATATGGAACAAAAAAGAGCCTGCATAGCCAAAACAAGGCTAAGCAAAAACAACAAATCTGGAGGCATAACATTACCTGATGTCAAACTATACTATAAGGGCATAGTCACCAAAACAGCATGTTACTGGTTTAAAAATAGGCACACAGACCAATGGAACAGAATAGAGAACCCAGAAATAAACCCAAATACTTACAGCCAACTGATCTTCAGCAAAGCAAACAAGAACATAAAGTAGGGAAAGGACATCCTTTTCAACAAATGGTACTGGGATCACTGGCTAGCTATATGTAGGAGAATGAAACTGGATCCTCATCTCTCATCTTATACAAAAATCAACTCAAGATGGATTAAGGACTTAAACCTAAGATCGGAAACTATAAAAATTATAAAAGATAACATTGGAAAAACCCTTCTAGACACTGGCTTAGGCAAGGATTTCACGACCAAGAACTCAAAAGCAAATGCAATAAAAACAAAGATAAATATCTGGGACCTAATTAAACTAAATAGTTTTTACACGGCAAAAGGAACAGTCAGCAGAGTAAACAGACAACCCACAGAGTGAGAAAAAGTCTTCACAATCTATACATCTGACAAAGGACTAATATCTAGAGTCTACAACAAACCCAAACAAATCAGTACAAAACAATCTACAACAAACCCAAACAAATCAGTACAAACCAAACAATCCCATCAAAAAGTGGACTAAGGACATGAATAAACGATTCTCAAAAGAAGATATACAAGTGACCAACAAACATATGAAAAAATCCTCAACATCACTAATGATCAGGGAAATGCAAATCAAAACCACAATGCGATACCATCTTACTCCTGCAAGAATGGCCATGATCAAAAGATCAAAAAACAGTAGATGTTGGCATGGATGTGGTGAACAGGGAACACTTCTACATTGCTGGTAGGAATGTAAACTAGAAAAGCCACTATGGAAAACAATGTGGAGATTCCTTAAAGAACTAAAAGTTGTACTACCATTTGATCCAGCAATCCCACTTCTGGGTATCGACCCAGAGGAAAAGAAGTCATTATTCGAAAAAGATACTTGCACGTGCATGTTTATAGTGGCACATTTCACAACAGCAAAATCATGGAACCAACCCAAATGCCCATCAATCAACAAGTGGATAGAGAAACTGTGGTGTATATATACAATGGAATACTACACAGCCATAAAAAGCGAATTAACAGCATTTGCAGTAACCTGGATGAGACTGGAGACTATTATTCTAAGTGAAGTATCTCAGGAGTTGAAAACCAAACATTGTGTGTTTTGATATGTGGGAGCTAAGCTATGAGGATGCAAAGGCATAAGAATAATACAGTGGACTTTGGGGATTTGAGGGGAAGAGTAGAAGGGGGACGAGGGATAAAAGACTACAAATATGTTGCAGTGTATAATGCTCCGGTGATGGGTGCACCAAAATCTCACAAATCACCACTAAAGAACTTACTCATGTAGGCTGGGCGCAGTGGCTCATGCCTGTAATTCCAGCACTTTAGGAAGCTGAGGTGGGTGGATCACAAGATCAGGAGTTCAAGATCAGCCTGGCCAAAGTCGTGAAACCCTGTCTCTACTAAATATACAAAAATCAGCCGGGCATGGTGGTGCTTGCCTATAATCCCAGCTACTCGGGAGGCTGAGGCAGAATTGCTTCAGCCCAGGAGGTGAAGGTTGCAGTGAGCTGAGACTGTGCCACTGCACTCCAGCCTGGTCAACAGAACGAGACTCCCTCTCAAAAACAAACAAAAAAAGAATTTACTCATGTAACCAAATACCACCTGTACTTGAATAACTTATAGGAAAAAATTTTAAAAATAAAGATCTATCCTTAAATATATATGTGTATATATTATATATGTGTATATATTATTTTATATATATGATATATGTATATATTATATTTTACACATATATATATCTCTCTCTGTGTGTCCAGATCAGGAGTTTGAGACCAGCCTGGCCAACATGGAGAAATCCCGTTCTCTACTAAAAATACAAAAATTAGCTGGGCATAGTGGCGCCCCTAATTCCAGCTACTCGGGAGGCTGAGGCAGGAGAATCGCTTGAACCCAGGAGGCGGAGGTTGCAGTGAGCTGAAATTGTGCCATTGCACTCTAGCCTGGGCAACAAGAGCAAGAGTCCATATTAAATATAAATATAAATGTATATATATATACTTGATTATATATATATTCACGAAAAAATACACCTGAGAACATTTCTAAACTTATGCTAAGAAAGGAAAAGTTAAATGAGAATTTCTTACAAGTAAAATACATGATTAATATTAATTTTTATCTGAAATCCACCTCTTTTATGAACCTTGTTAATATTTTCTTACCTTTCAAGTCCTACTAATAAAATGCAATTTACAGTTAAATAATGGAAGTCAACATAAGTGAACAAATCTTTTCAAGGTGACAAACCCAGGGAGTGGTAGTGCTAATTAGAAAACAGATGTATCTAGGCCACGCGCGGTGGCTCTTGCCTGTAATCCTAGCACGTTGGGAGGCCAAGGCGGGCGGATCACCTGAGGTTGGGAGTTCGAGACCACCCTGACCAACATGGAGAAACCCCGTCTCCACTAAAAATACAAAACAATTAGCCAGGTATGGTGGTGCATGCCTGTAATCCCAGCTACTCGAGAGGCTTAGGCAGGAGAATTGCTTGAACCCAGGAGGCGGAGGTTGCGGTGACCTGAGATCACACCATTGCACTCCAGCCTGGGCAACAAGAGTGAAACTCCATCTCAAAAAAAAAAAAAAGAAAGAAAGAAAGAAAAGAAAGAAACAGATGTGTCTGACTGATATTCACCTGCCCCAGTCTGCTCACCTTAAGTGCTCAATAACTACCCTCTCAGGAGACGTTATACTATGCCCCAGGTGCATTTTACTTTGTAAGTTCTTGCACCATCTCACTTGGGTCAGGTTTTTCTTTGTCTTTTGGGATACCTTTTTTTTTTCCCCCACAAAATTCAGAGAATTCAGAGGGCAGAAATTATTTCCATGTTTTCCCCTCAATACCAGCATCTGATTGGCTGACCAGCATTGTGTCTCCAAGAAATGAAAGCTGGGTTGGGTGAACACAAAATGTCTCAAGGGGTTAGCTTTTCAAAGGAAGAGTATGCCAGGAGATGCCTCTTAGCCCCAGGGCATCCACCTACTCCCTTGAGAAGCTACACTCCATACCTCCAAAAACCTTCACCTGAAAACATTCTGATAAGATTTCTGTGCCTAAGGAAGATTTAAAAAAAAAAAAAAAAAAAGGCATAGAAATTTCATAAAATACAGTGTCAGGGAATTATTTTTTGCTTTCTTCTCATGAGAAATATTTTCAAACAGAAAACAATTTTAAGTGCCATCCAATGCTTTGTCAAAAAATGATTAACTAAAATACAGTATCAAAAACGTACACTAAAGGAAAAACAGTTGAGAACGTGAATTAGGAAAGAGAAGCTGGCATTTGGAAATGTCAGAAGGAACTGGAAATTTCGTATTTTAGTTTATTTGCAGTTTAAATCTAACTGCAGGCCAGAGTTAGGCTGGAGGAATGGGGCTGGGAAGTACACTTGAGACCCTGCTGGGAACGCATGTGAAAAATGCAGTGGAAAAATCAGTCCCCTGTGGAGTGTGAGAATAATTAAGGGGCAGGCAATTACACTGAGGAGGCTCTAGTCCCAGGGTTTCTACTTAACAAAAACTGCTACGTAACTGTACCTAACGAATTATTAAATATAGTTTTCTTCATCATGTACCTTATAAAAGTCTTTCCTTCAAGCTCCTCCCATGAACCACAAACTACAAAACATACTTTTGTGCTCTACAATTATTGAATCACTCTTTGATTAAATTCTTTAATATTTTTTGCGATGACTGCCACCGTTTTTAACATGAGAAAATAGCATGTGGGAACTCCACATACCAAAGCTCTTCCCATTCATGAACCCGCACCCCAAGTCAGGATTCTCCCCTGACGACCCTCCCATGGTCCGTGCACAATCTGGGAAAGGCGCCGCGCTGCCAGTGCAGAGCTGTCGAGAGAAGGCTCCAGACCTGGGCACGGTCACTATGCAGGGAATAGACAGGATGCCCGGGGGCCGGGCTGTCGGAGCAGCCGCCATCTTATGGCTGAAGGGGATTGAGATCCAGCTGGGCAAGGAGAATTCGGGGCGCAGATTGTGGAGATGACTGCGGGGAGGCCTGAGTCCCGCCACAGCCACTTCCCACCGGTTTCAACCAGCCCTTCCCCTCTCTCGGGATGTCGGACCGCACTCTCACCATTTCTAGGCTTCCAGGGGGTCCTGGCGTCTTAGCTGTGGATCTCCCAATGCCTGTCGGTCACAGAGCCACAGAGTCTGGGCCTCTAAGAGCAGAGGACAAAGAGCAGCGAAGACGAGACCTGGAGCTCCGGCTGAAGCGAGACACAAAGGCCGCGCCAAACCCGGAAGCCGCCCTGTCCGGTCCAGCTGCGTGTCTGATTGAACTGTCCCCTAGCTCAGAGTCCCTGATTGGATAATGTTTAAGACCCGCCCCTTCAGAACCTGAGTGACGGAAGATGTGATCAGATGCTGGGCTGAATGAAGTGTGACCGCCTAGGCTGCAGCCTTTTCAGGCAAGGCTTCCTCCGTGAGCTGAGCTAGGCCCACCCCAGAGGTTGTTTGCCTTTAATCTTGTGTGTAAGGTCATATGCTCTTATATATAATATCCTATATGGCTATCACAAATGAAAAGAATACAACAATTGTTCTAAAAATTTTTTTTTTTTTTGAGACCGAGTTTCGCTCTTGTTGCCCTGGCTGGAGTACAATGGCGCGATCTTGGCTCACCACAACCTCCGCCTCCCGGGTTCAAGCGATTCTCCTGCCTCAGCCTCCCGAGTAGCTGAGATGACAGGCATGCGCCACATGCCTTGGCTAATTTTTGTATTTTTAGTAAACACACGGGTTCCCATGTTGGCTCATGGCCTGGTCTCGAACTCCAACCTCCAGTGATCCTCCCACTGGCCTCCTTCCCGGCGAGCCTGGCCTCGCGTGAGCCACCGCGCCCGGCCCCAAATTGCTCTAAATTTTATACTGTTATGCCTTCTGGCTACGGTCCCTTTGAGCAGGCAGCTGGCGATTTTTAAAAAGGAGCGCATTCTCTGAAAATAAAATGCGAGCACAAGTTCGGCGGTGCTCACGCCTGTAACCATCAGTAACATTTGGGAGGCCTAATGGAGGGTGACCACTGAGGCTGGAGTTCAGACCAGTCCTGCCAACAATGTTGAAACCCGCTCTGGTAAAACCAACTACAAAAAAATTAGCTATTCATGGGTGCAGGCCGCCTTAATCCCCAGCTACTTGGAGGCTGGGGCAGGAGAATACCTTGATCCTGGAGGTGGAATTTGCACGTGAGCAGAGATCATGCCTCTGCACGCAGCTGGCAACAAGAGTGAAATCTCCATCTCAAAAAAATAAAAAATACATAAAATAAACATAGATAAAATGTGAAGTCCATGTAAATTTATTTTCAGTAGCCAAACTTTATTTTTTTTATTTTATTTTCGTTTTAGACTTTTAAGACAGAATCCGGCACTGTTGCCCCAGGCCGGAGGGGCAATGCGCGTGTACCCCACACCACACCACCTCACCTCCCAGGCACACCCTCTCGCTACCCACCATACAGGTGCACCTGCCACCATGCCCACCAAATTAATCAAACACACTTTAAAGAATTTGGCTCTGTAAACACTAAACAACAACACAAAGCAACACAAATTCGATGGTACACAATTAACTCCATATTCCCATCAAATTATCGTCATTCTTAGACGTGTGAGAAATATTAATTACCTTTAATGAAGAGAGCAGTGCTGTTGTGTGTGTATGGAACTAACATCTTTGAACTTACTCGTATTCTTACCTTTCTAGGCCATCGTTAGTTCAGACCGGCACATTCCAGGCAACCCAGCAGCACGCATCGACCAACAGGCTGCTACATTGAAGTGCAGCTCTGACCATTCAGAGGGTGACGCGTCTGAATATCCCTGTTCTCGCCAGACGCTCTCATACCCACATCTGTCTCCTTCAGTCTGGGGGTAGAACAGATAGTGGTCATAGAAAGAGCAGAGGGCAACGGCCGGCACACCCCGTGCCATGCCTGTATTCCCAGTACTTTGGGACCAATCGGCGCCCGCACCGCGATCACGAGGTCAGGAGTTTCCAAGACCAGCCCTGCACCCATGATGGTGAAACTGCTCTCTACTAAAAACAGAGAATAGAAGAGGTATGGTCGGCGCCTGCCTGTAATCCCAGCTACTCGGAGGCAGAAGAATCGCTCAAACCTGGGAGCAAGAGTTAGAGTGAGCTGAATCACGCCATTGCACTCCCCAGCCCTCGGGTGGCAGAGTGAGACTGCCTAAAAAAAAAAAAAAAAAAAAAAAAGAGCAGAGAGCAACAGGAATAAAATAACCACAGGTAGACCACTGCTGGCCACGTCTTGCCCTCCTTCCTTCTAGAGATCAGACAGTGAACAAAGGATGATGTGGCCACAGGAGAAGAGAACCCTATGTCTTCAGGTCTGTCCACACTCTTGACCTCCAATTTTTAGATATGAAAAAAATAGATTAAAGGCAAGCTTATTTTGCTCTTTGGCCTTGGCCCTTATGATTAGGCTGTGGTTGTCTATTTTCTCCTGTAGTGTGAGGAACTGTGTGGATATAAGCACTAATCACATGCATACAATATCTACATGTATTTCTGCATTACTCAATATTACTTTACAAGACATCCAACTCTAAATCAGAGGGAAAATAATAGTACCTTTAGGGTGTCCACTGTGAGAAGGTAAGTAGTACTGAATCTGTCATTAAATCCTGGCATCCTATCTGCACTGGGTGCATGTATTAGTTAGCTATTGCAGCATAACAAACCATCCAAAACTTATTAGTCATAATTGAAAGGGTCAGCCATTTGGGCTGGGCTCAGTGGGGCCATTTCTCTAGTCTCAGCTGAGCATTTTTAGACATGTGTCATCAACTGCTTGTTGACTAAGCAGCTGTGTTTCTGGGAGTGAGCTTCTGCTTCTGGAGCTGTCAATAGGGGCAACTCTTTTCTCCATTCCATGGTATCTTATTCTCCGGCTGGCCGACATGGATTTTTCCCATGGAGATGGCAGCATTCTGAAATAAAAGCAGAAACATTCAAGACCATTTGAGCTTGGGCCCCAAACTAGCCCACTGTCATGTTCACAGGTTTCTACTGCCCTGAGCAAATATGACCTGCCAGATCTAGTGTTCAGAAAGCAGATACTGGATGTCAATAGAACAACTGTAAAAGCACCTGGCAATGGGCAGGAATATAAGAGGATGAAAAATTGCGACCATTTTGGCAATCGTTATTATTCTGCCCTTTTTAATGTACACGGTTTATAGAACTCTTCCACAGAAAGAAACTTGTCCAAAGACTAACAGCTACTAAGTGGCTGAGCTGAGATTCAGAATAAATTCTGTCTGACTTCAAAGTCCATGCACCACCATAGATAACACTGTTACAGAATCTGCCCTAGTCCTTTGAAATCCTGGAGAGTGAAACTTCTACCATAGAGGACAGATGTTCTTTAGATTCATGCCGATATGGTACTGTTTATTATTGAGAATAATTCTCTCAAGAAATTCCAGAAGCAGATGGTGGCTTAAACCTGTAATCGTAGTACTTTAGGAGGCTGAAACGGGAGAATCACACGAGCTCAGGAGTTCAAGTGCAGCTTTGGCAACACAGTAAAATCTTGTCTCCATGAAAAAAAAATGTTAAATTAGCCAGGCATAATGGTGCACGTCTGTAGTCCCAGCTACTCAGTTGGCTGGGGCAGGAAGATTGCTGGAGCCTGGAAGGTCGAGGCTGCAGTGAGTCATGATTGGTTACACCATTGCATTTCAGCCTGGGTAGTAGAGTGAGACCCTGTCTCAAAATAAAATAAATCAAAAAGGACATAAAATAATTTGGAAAAATAGCTAAGGACTGAGTTTATGAAATCAAAGCTGGCCGGGTGTTGTGGCTTACACCTGTAATCCCAGAGAGGCCAAGGTGGGTGGATCACCTGAGATGAGGAGTTCAAGACCATTCTGGCCAATCATGGTGAAACCCCAACTCTACTAGAAATACAAATTATCTGGACATGGTGGTGCTCACCTGTATACCCAGCTACTTGGGAGGCTGAGGAAGGAGAATCATTTGAACCCAGGAGGTGGAGGTTGCAGTGAATGGAGATCCTGCCATTGCAGTCTAACATGAATGACAAGAGCAAAACTCCATCTCAAAAAAAAAAAAGAAAGAAAGAAAAAGAAAAATTTCAAAGCCCAACAACACATTATACATTTTTCATCATAGAAAAAATTTGGCCGGGAATGGCGGCTCACACCTGTAATCCCAGCCCTTTGGGTTGCTGAGGTGGGTGGATCACCTGAGGTCAGGAGTTCGAGACCAGCCTGGCTAACATGGTGAAACCCTGTTTCTACTAAAAATACAAAAAATCAGCCGAGCTTGGTGGCAAGTACCTATAACCCAGATACTCTGGAGGCTGAGGCAGGAGAATCACTTGAACCCGGGAGGCCGAGGTTGCAGTGAGCCAAGATCCTACCATTGCACTCCAGCTTGGGCAACAAGAGTGAAACTCCGTCTCAAGAAAGAGAAAAGGCCCAACAACACATTATACATTTTTCATCATAGAAAAAATTTGAAAACTTTTAAAAGAAAAAAAAAACTTTAGAGAAATAAAATTAAATTTAACAGAGTTTAATTGAGCAATTAATAATTTGCAAATCAGGCAGACTGTGGATCCACAGTAGGCTCAATGAGACTCCAGCACAGCCACATGATGGGAAAAGGATTTATGGACAGAAAAAGCAAAGTGACATTCAGATAATGAAAGTGAGGTACACAAACAGCAAGATTGATTCCAGCCAGGAATTTGCCTTATTTGAACATGGTTTGAACAGTTGATGTCCTCTTATTCACAATAACACAGCAGTTGGTACAAAAATGGGTTACAGTCTATTTACATATCCAGTTAGGTTTCCGTTTACTATATATTAAAAAAACCTACTCACCAAAATTAAACACAATAAGAAACAGCTTTAGGCTATAATTTAACAATTTCTCACTTTTGGACATCTTCTCAATGTTGAGACATAGACTAGAACTTTAGATATTGATATCACTCTGTCACCATTAAAAAGTACTTATTTAGGCTGAATGTGGTGACTCACACCTGTAATCCCAGCACTTTGGGAGGCTGAGGCAGGCAGATCACCTGAGGTCAGGAGTTTGAGACCAGCCTGGCCAACATGGTGAAACCCCATCTCTACTAAAAATACAAAAATTAGCCGGGCATGGTGGCACACACCTGTAATCCCAGCTACTTGGGAGGCTGAGGCAGGAGAATCCCTTGAACCCAGAAGGCAGAGGTTGCAGTGAGCTGAGATCGCATCACTGCACTCCAGCCTGGGTCCGTGACAAGAGCAAAACTCCGTGT